AGATAGTAACTATTTTAGGCTTTGCAGGCCATATGGTATCTGTCGCAAACAATCATCTCTACTGTTGTAGTGCAAAGACAGCCACAGACAATATACAAACGAACTGGCCAGGCTGTGTTCCGATAAAACTTTATTTACAAAGATAGGCAGCTAGCCAGCAGGCTCTAAAATGGTGCGTGAGTTCTATGTATATACGTGCATTTTTGCTGTCCTTAGAAGATCCAGAGTTTTCCGTCGCTTCTCACGACGATTCGCAATCCAAGACGGCTAAGAACTGGTCTAAATGGTCTCCAAGCCCCTCCGAACTGAGACATTCCAGCATTCTATGGATTCTGCATGTGTTTTAAATTAACAAAAGATTCTTTCTCCCTAGCCGCCTCATTTGATGCATTCTGCTGTGAACTCTTAAGCGGATTATAATCCCCCGCCCGTCGTTGAGAAGGAAACGAAGGACCTACTGCCATTTCAACTTCCCTGGCTTTCCTGGCAGATGGTAGCGGCTGGAACACGAATACACTCCCGACTGGAAAGCGGCAGCTCGGTCCCGCACCGGCTAGTTTGACGTTTGCTCAGCCTTTTTCTTCTTCTTCCCAGAGATCACATTCTGTGTCCCACTGAGCCCTCACCACCGAAAGCACTCACTTGTCTTGACCGTATTGATAATGCAGTTTGGACTCATGCAGTCAGCCAGGTCGGCCCAGGTATGGTGTGGAGGGAGAGACGCTGTCCGATGCGTTTCACTGACACATCTCTGCGTCTGTTCAGAGACCGTCCCCCTCCCAAGAAAACGTGGTTCCTCCTCTTAGGGTTCCCCAGCTCCGTGAGCTGCAGCATCTTATTAACCGCCTGCAATGACACCCACGGGTACCTTTACCCTGCCCGCCGCTCTGTGGGACTTGTGTGCCCCTAACTGGGATCTTTGGGTGGACCTCGCTGATTATGTTCCATTTTTGTCCAGAGTCTGGTACCCCGCTTGGCATATCTGTTCTAGCTTTTTAGCACCAAGATCCCTGAAAGCTACACCCAGTTTTAAACGCTTGCATTACCTCTGAGAATCAAAACAGTGATTGTCCCATCAACTCGAGTAAGAAGCCAGATTGCTTTAAATTTGAGGGAGGAAAAAGGAGATACGTTAAAACAGGGAATCACAAATTTGCACTTATATTGCAGGTTTCTGAGCACGGCGCAAGAAGGGGAGAAAGGACAGAGGGCTGGAGGATGACGAACGTCGAGGCCGACAGGGGTCTGCACGCTGCTCCCCGAGCGCGCCTGCGCCCGAACTCGGCGTCGCCAGCGCGCGGCGATTTCTCATAGCGAGCGACCCCCGAAGAAGGAAATAAGCCCGCAAATGAAAGTAAGGGGAACATCAGTCACTCAGCCGGGACTCGTGGAGACTTTATTCCAGGCTAGACGCGTGTATATATCACATCGGCGTTCGTGCGAGCGCTCTGAAATGAAACCTAAGAGCGCCACGTGGTGCGGCTTGTCCCTCCAACTCGTGTTTCAGCTCGGCCTTCTGGTCGCTGTCACCTGCCAGCAGCGTGGTGCCCCGTAAACAGAAATGGGTCGCGGGCGCGTGGGTTGCTCGTGTCCTGGCAGGTCATTATGTGACCTTGGCTGGCCAAGCCCTGTGCCTTAGTTTCCTGATTTGTCATGTGTAAGAATTCCCTGCTCTGCATACTGCAGAGGGGCGTTAGGGGGGCTGGAGTATATATATATATATATATATATACACTTGCACTTGGACGAGTATAAAACACCAGATAAATGTGAAATTGACCTTGTCCTTTTTGCTTAACAAGGTAGTGGGTAGGCGGGGGGTGCGGATGATGGCATTTTGCACAGAAGGCTTAGTGACTCAATGAA